AGATCTCGATAAAATCTATATGAAGACAATTTCGTATTCCTCACCAAAATCAGATATAGGGTTTTTCGATTACATTGCTCTGATGCAGCAGAAAAACCCCACTCTTTCAAAAGCCAAGCTCAGGAAAAAATCTTTTTGCCCTGGAAGAAGAAGTAGAAGTTAAAATAACAACTTCCTCAAATGATATAGAAACCAAATATTGGGATCCTCCAAATGAAGATGATTGTATGAGACTATTTTCCCAAATAAATTAGACAAAATATCATGGACGGTACGACTCCATCACCATTCAGGACACGTGTTCCAAAGATGACAGTAAAAGATTGTCAACACACCAATCATTATTGCTACAGTAAAAGAAGCATTATTTCTGACAAAAAACACTGTTGCTATAGTAAAAAGCTGACAAGAATCTTTCCTTTATATTTGCTTTTACCCTACCTTTTACTTTTACTTGAAAGAAAATGCATCTTACCTTGTCGATGCGGACTTAAGAATGTTTGAAGTCCGCCCTACCCTCTTCTATAAAAGGAGGACCAGGCCTCAGAAGTAGAAACTTTGGGATTTTCCTTCTGAATATTATAGCTAGGGTTTTAATACTTTGTAAGGAAGTGCTTTTTGAGTTATTGTTGTAGTATGTTTGAGTGATTACTGTGAGTACTTCAAGTCTGCTTTCTGTCACTCACCTCTGCTTCGAGTTTTCATGCAAGTGCCTATCTCTATTTTGCTTCTCTAAATCTTGCACCTCTGTTTCTGTTATTATAACTCAATGAAATTATGTATGAATGCTACCCATTATTCTTTATGAATTTTATTTTATCCCTCTTCGGCTATTTTAATTTTTTAACTGTCATGCTATGCTCATTAGTCCAATTTGGAGGATTCGTTTTTTAATCTCTAGAATAAAGGTTGAGCATCTGATGCTAAATCGTTATAAAAATTTGAAATATAATTTAGACATCCTAAAAATCATTGTAATTCTTTTTTATCTTTTATGATGTCACGGAATTTGGAAGAAAATTCAATTGCTCTATCTATAGGAATTATCCTTCCTTGAAAGATATTATGCCCAAGGAACCTAATTTTTGTTTTAAAAAGGTTTATTTTTCTAGCAGAAACAACTAGACCGGCATTTTTTATAGCTTTAAAAAATATATTTAAATGTTTCCAATGTTGGTCAATATTATCAGAATATACGAGGGCATCATCAATATGGACAATAATGAACTTAGTATACGGATTAAATATATCATTCATAATATTTTGAAGGGGCATTTTTTAACCCGAAAGGCCTTACATTCCATTCGTAATGTTCGAAGGGAACATTAAATGTTGCTTTATATTTATCTTTTTCCAATATTTGAATTTGCCAATATCCTGATTTTAAATCAAACTTTGAGAAAATACAGGCATTGACTAATCTATCTAGGAGATCCCTTTTATTTGAAATAGGGTAGCGAATCCATCTCAAAATCTTATTCAAGGGTTTACAATTTATAACAAGGCGTGGGGCTCCCCTTTCAATCTACGAAGCTTTTTCTACATAAAAAGCTGCACAGCTCCACGATGAAGAACTTTTCCTAATTAGTTTTTGTCAAGAAGTTCTTGTATTTCAGTTTTACAAATTTCTAAGAGTCTGCTATTCATTTGTATTGGCCTGGCCTTAGTTGGAATTTTCTATTCGTTAAAGCCTGGTTCATAAGGAAGTTCCACAATGTGTTGCTTTCTATTCTAAAAAGTGTTAGGGATTTCTGCACAAACTTCTTTTTCAAGTATTGGCTTGAAATTATTAATTTTATTTGGTATTGGTGGTGATGTCAATTTTTCATCAATAGTCTTATACTTAACCTTTCTTTTAAATGAAAGGGAAATCTTTCTTTCGTAGAAATCTTATTTTTGATACTATTTATTCCATGAATTCTTGGTTTATCAATGAAGTCAAATTTTACTTTAACCTCTTCTTTTAAATGAAAGAGAAATCATTCCGATTTGTAAAAAAATTTGAAAAATAAAATACTACCCAACAATCGTGATCGTACGATGAACTTTGGACGGTGATGAGGGTAAGCAAAATTACTGTTCATTTTCGCCTATAGGCGTTGGGAAGACTTTTCCATATATATATATATAGGAAAAACCTAAGAAACGTCTATAGGCGAAGTGCTACAGTGTTTTGCCACCGTCACGGACTTGCTATGTTTGTGGTGGTTCATTGAACAGACGGTGCACCATCTGTTGTGGTTCCGCATATTTTTTTGAATGTTACGGACCTAACATGTCCGTCACGTCGCCCGAAATTTTTTCGGATGGTGATGAACCTATGAGTGAAAATACTGTTCATTTTTGCCCATGGGCGTTGCGTAAATGCTTCCATATATATATATATGTGATAGAGGCTTTAGAAAGTGTTATTATGTGCGTGTGTGTGCCGCAGCATTGGCTAAAAGCCCTTTTGGGGAAGAGGCCGGGGTGGGGGGTTGTTCACCCTGAAACTTGCAGTTCGTCTCTGTTCATCTTGACAATTAATTATAAATAATAAATTGCATCTTATTAATGGTCCAAGTTATTTATGCTGTAATAGTGAATGCAGATCATTCATTTGATGGGCGGTTAGATACAGGCGTTTAAGAACTCATGATCCTCTTTTTTTTTTTTATTTGCTAATTGGTGAATCAAAGATGATGTGCAAAATTTCAGTTCAAAAAATTGCCCTAACCATGTGTTTTGGACCTTGGCCACTTGACTTATATTTATACTTTATGTGTGCGTCATTTTTTTTAGATTTTTTTTTATTTGTTGTGAATTTTTGTTTTTTTGGGAGGGGGGATTTGGTTGCTGAATGTGTGGTGATGTAGGCAGAAAGGCTTTTCTAAAGTATGGCACATTGAAGAAAGGGGCTGCGGTCGTGGTGGTAGCATCCCACACTTAGTTACCAAGTTGTGGTTTCCATTCCTATCAATAACACCACCCCACTAACACCTTCAAAAATTTAACTCCTAATCTACTTAAAAAACCGGGTAGGGGCATGTCTTCCCCACTGAATTACCCAAAAAAAAAAGAAGTATGGCACATTGGTACAACACTATATATATCAGATGCTGGAATCTCAGCATCATACTGCCAATGAGTGTGAGCCTGCTTTGTGCAGCACTTATATGTGCATCCAGATAAGGCCATAATCTCCACATATATTTTATAGATGGAAAAGTATCACGTCCACAACATGTGGACTGATGTAAGGGTTGAATGGGCTGGATGGTCTGGCTCGGCCTGGTCAGCCCGGCCCTAAAAAACCAGGGCTGAGGCCACATAATGTGTCCCGAGGATCGGGCTAGGGCATGGAAACTACGGCCCGAGGGTAGGGCCGGGAAACTGCGGCCCGAGGGTAGGGCCGAGCTGAGTCAGCATGGGCCAAGGCCAGACCGGTTCAGCCCGGCCTGTCCCGACTCTTTTTTTCTTTGTTTTCTTTTTTATTTTTATCTTGATTTTACATGGCCTGGCTTGATACGGCCCTGCCCGGCCTTGGGCTAGGGCCTCTTTGGCCCAAGCCTGGGCTGGCCTTATGTGGACTAGGGCTGGCATGGCCCAGGCTCGGCTGTTGCCAGCCCTATGTGGACGTTTGGAAGGGTGCTTGTGCAAGGCTATTTCTAACGGTCAAACCTAATTTTGTATTTTATGTTTTACTTAAATATTATATTTATCTAAAATTTGGGATGTATGTTCATTTTTTATAATGAAATTGTTTTGATAGAGCTACTGTCTTATCAAACTAAGTAAAGGCTCGCTTTAAAAATCACCAAAAATTATAGTTTTGGTATCGGAACCTTCAAATCGACCATCTCATCCTTTAACCATCATAGTTGTTACAAAAAGTTTGGATTTCAAACCCTAAAAATAGTGTGCATTGTAGCACATTATCTAGACTGTCCATTTCGCCTGAAAAATAAGTGTTCATGGATCTATAGAATTTTTTAGCTTAAAATTTTATAGTCAATATTGGGATTGATTTTAGAGCCATCATGTTTTGGACGAGGATTTGAGATGCGGCTTTACTTTGTTTTCATAATGCCTAGTCCTCATAAAAAACTGCATCCTTTTTATAAAGAAAACTAAATCAAACTAAGTAAAAAAAAATTAAATAAAATATGATCAAAATACCCCTAAATATATTTTTTTCAATATTTTTTCTTCAAAATATTTTTATTATTTTTATTGGATTCTCCTTATAAAAATGAAGCTAAAACCTAAATTTCAGATAATCATAATTGTTGAATTAAAATTAAAAATAAAAAACAAAGTTTGGCCCTTGGATGAGGCTAGGTTCAATATGAACCATTAAAAGGTGCTTGTGCCCTTCTAACTGTCCACAGCATCGAATACCAACCCTTTGTAGATATAAATCATAATGTAAATTATAGTCTAAAGCTTTTGTTAGATCCAAAGATGATTGCAATCCCTTGGTCTTCGAAAATATTTTTGTGTCCTTCAATTCAAAATTATATTCAGTAAACTTCTGATATATAACTTCTTAGAAGTTAGAACATGCAAAAATAAATTTTCTATTGCCTTGCTTTTAACTAGTTTCCTATTTAAGGGTTATAGAATCTGACCAAAGCCTTTTAACTAGTTGCCTTATTTAACTAGGTTGAGGTTGTAATCGGTATTATGGTTCTCATTTCAACTATTAGTCGTATGTTAGGTTCAATGCTTGTATGGGGGAAATACATTAAAGAATATGGAAAGGACATGATGTTTCATAATTGCATTGTTCCATATGGCAGTTACATATTTTTCTTTCTTTGATTTGGTTAGGTGGTAGATATTTATTTTATGATACTGTATCGCTCAAGAAGTATATTAAACTAACAAAAAGGGTTAACTATCAATGGAAAAGACATGCTTGTATATAGTTTGGTCGTATAGGAAAAAATTGTGTGTATAGTTTGGTGTCAAACTCCTAAAGTCAGCTCAATTGATACTTACCAATTTGGGAGTCTTAGGCGTGTGCGACAATCGGAAAGGTTTAATTGGGCAGCAACACGTGGTGTAAAGGAAGACCATCTTCTTGAGAATCTACCGGAGGATCTACAAAGAGACATACGGCGTCATCTTTTTGAAGTTATCCAGAAGGTAAGATATCAAACCTCATGTGGCGTCCTTTATATTTATTGTACTTGTAAAATTAAGGTTTGTTTCCTTCATAAACGACTAGTTAATTATCGTATATGCTAGTTTGTTCCATTTACTCTCATGGTAAGGACCACAGACCATGAGCATTGCCTTTTTTAGAGTTCGCAAAAGTGTTTAGAGTTCGCAAAAGTGATATAGATGAAGATAATAAATACAAAAAAGTTTCCAAAATGGAGCTCCAAAGCTTGAAGAGTAACTTCTATGATTAAAACTTTGTTTGCATGACTCTTTGGGTAGGCATATAGGATAGAACTAAGTTCCCTTGGACATCTAAAGAGGGCATAAAAGAATAAACCATATGTAAGATACAATAAATGATATGCAACACTATGATACAACATAATGACTACCACAAGATAATAATTTCCTTCTTCACCTTGAAGGAGTGGCATGTAAAATTTCAGACAATAAAAATAAATTTTTTTCTCTTTTTCTTTTATTTATATATCTGAATTTCAATTACAAGTGTCACAAAACAATGTTGTAAACAAGAAATTAAACTCTAAATACAACTAGGATCTTCTCTTTTTACTTCCAAATAAATATGACTCAATCCAGGACTGAAAACAAGCTTTAACTGTAAATTTTAATGCAAATAATGTTCCTGAAAATTGCAATAAATTGAATAAATACGAGTAAAAATTAAATTTAAAACAGTTGGGTGACTTACTTAAGTTTGCCTGGGGTCACCTACTTAGGACTTGGTACACCCCACACATGCTTACCTGACTGATGACGACACACTTTGATCCTACTAGCCTGCTGGATCCTCTGATATGGGAAGCTCTTTTAGCAAATACCTTTCCAAATCTAGGGTTTAATAGATCATAAAACAAATTAGGGTTTTTCTAGCCTTTTTAGACGCTTAGGGCTTGCCACCTCCTTATTTCCAATGCAGGCTGGACCTGCCCCGTTATGACCCGTGTAGGGTTTTTCTAGACCCTTTTTAGACTCTTAGGGCATGCCACCTTAGTGGCACCTCCCTATTGCCATAGTGGGCTGGATGTGCCCCTCTGTGACCCTTGTGGGTGGCGTGCCACCCCAAGCTCTCTAAGGTGGTGCGTGCCACCTCTTATGGGACAAGAGAGGAGAGGAGAGGAGAGAGGGGCAGAGTGAGAGAGGCATGGATAAGAGAGGAGAGAGAGATGCTAGGCATTTTTTTATGGTGAGAGTGAGGGGGTCGACCATCTATTTATAGCCTCCAGGTAGGTCTAGGTATGTCTATCCAATCTAGAATTCATCTTCATAATACGACTCCTAAGTAATCTGTGAGGTGAGAGGGAAACAAATCTGAGCCATCCATCCCATGAATTAAACATTCTGATTTAAGAAAGAATCTAGAAACCTTATCCCCGGAATCATTGACCTACATCCACTTCTTTTCAACCTAGGAAAAGACCAATCAAAAGCCTATTTTGACTAGAACTTCCTTTTTTCTCAAATAAGATAGTAGGAATTCAAGTAAAAAACGTTTTGGTCAAAATTAGAAGATTGAAAGAATATTTTCGAAAAGCATATATTAAAATATAAAATATTCTCCACTCCCACAAAATATGGACTCTAAATCTTTTCAAAGATTTTGTAGGGTTTCCTTCTTTAATAAAATATCTTTATTAAAAGACAACTTTATCCTTAACAAAAAACGAAAAGACATGGGCATCCTCACTCGACTAGGACGTGTGGACCTTATAGGCCCCACATTCCACACCCATGTGGTTCTCCCATGTGTGGGGCTGGGCCCTTAGCTCCCCATATGGGTCCTACAATGCTTGCCCTAGGCATTTTTGGAATTATGAATTAGGGTTTTTAATTGCTAAAAATGATTTTAAAAATTCCATTAAATTTTTTTAAAAATCCTGAAATCATTTCTAAAGATGGAAACAAAATTTCTAGATTCAGATTGGTACCAATGGGTCAAGAGAAGTGATTATTAGGGCACTCCACCCAACCCAGTAATCGTGGTCCCTCGACTATATTCTCAAACCAACCTAACAAACTCATGACCCTCAATCTCATATAGGGGTTCATGATTGGGGCCTATGATTGGTTTGTCAAAGCTGGGCAATAAATAGTGCAACCACAGTCCCGAAATTTGGTTTACAGGTTCCCCCCTTAAGTGCAAGACACATTTCATATCATTATAATGTAAGGGGGACTCTCTTTGTACGAGCACTCCACCCAACCCAGTAATCTTGGTCCCTCGACTATTCTCAAACCAACCTAACAAACTCATGACCCTCAATCTAATCCAGGTGTTCATGATTGGGGCTAATGCTTGGTTTGTCAAAGCTGGGCAATAAATAATACAACCATAGTCCCAAAATGTGGACTACAAGTTACCCCCTTAAGAGCAAGACACATTTCATATTGTTATAATGTAAGGGGGACTCTCTTTGTGCACATGTACACGGATTCATTTGCAAGGTTGCTTCCCAGTATGAGGCTGTCATGTGTACATGCCGTGCGAAAGTTTGTTGAGGATTTAACCCTCGCTCTCACCTGGCCTACAAACTCATTCCTGAGCATCTCTCCGATCTCAAAAATGGATGAACCTATGAAAAGGCATCTATGGTTGCATGTGCCCAGAGAAAAGGTTATAGACATGATCAAGGCCATAGACCGCCTAACCCTTGGTCAGTTACACTCCTACTGAAATGTCATATCCACTTTACATGCTCTCACGGGATTTAAAGGCCACATACCCCAAAACACATTCCCTTTCAAAATTATGTGGTGGAACCTTGTATTTTTGCTTTGAAAAAGTACCTTATAGTATTTCAAAATAACAAACCTTTTGTTCCATAGTATTTTGGAATGTTTACAGCCTCAGAAATGGTATTTTGGAATGTGTACAGCCTTAGAAATGGTGTTTTGTTCTCTATGTTGGTATCCTTTTCATTTGTGCTCTAATAACCAAAGGGAGAGAAGGCCTAAGCAGAGCAAACGCAATGTGTGAATGCAATAGTGCACCACCACACGCACTTGCAAGGGCACTTGATGTCACATTTTGTACTTTGCATACTTGCATCGGCACATTAGGCATCGCTCGCTTGAGTACGTGTGCGGGTCGGGCTCGTGGCTCATTTATCCTTTTGTTGCGATAGGCATAACCACCAGTAGACTATTGGAACTATAGAGACCTTTTGGTAATGTGCCCCTTTGATGAACTTGCGCAGCTCTGGTGGGATGGTGTACTCCGGTGAATTGTGCCTCATCGGATGGGTCCGGTGGAATGGTGCACTCCGTTGAATTGTTCCCATTGGATGGATTAGTGCATCCGAGGAATCATACCCCTTTGGTGAAGAAGTGTGGTTCAGGTGGATTGGTGCTCTGGTACTTTCGCTTTAATGGTGAAGACGCGTACATAGCGTGTGACGTTTACTTTACCGGAACCCAAAAGACACCGTGTGATTGTCAGCGCACGCGTGAATATTGCGACGGTTGGTTTCCCAGAACCTGAAGGGTCACCTTGTGACTGTAGGATATCTTGTTGCACATCACCATAGTAGATGCGCTGTTCTGATGGCTGAGATTTTGTGAGATGCAAGTCTTGACTTAGGGGTGCTTGATCAGTCATGCATAGAAAGTGAAAAGGTACTCTATCTCTCTATATGTGGGAACTTGTTTTTCCATTTTAACATACATTAACTTATGTGGTTTTCTTCTTTCCAAAGTATTTTTTCTCTTTAGAAAGTGGCAATTTTGTGCCCTAGATCTTGCAATACTTGTGCATTTTTATGGGCAAGATAGTTTCCTCAATCCTCTGCTCTCATGTATCCTAAGAACAAATTTACCTGGTAGAACTTAAGTGCACACTGATATTTATCAATAAGGGGCAAATTTTGTCTTGAGAAAGCGATTTATCGTGCCTAGGATCAGAGATATTGAAACTTCATAGTTTCATTTATCTTTTATTTTACCCCGTTTCACCCTCCATTCCAAAGACATTAGTCTTTCTAACTAGGTACTGCTCTTGTCAACAAGTCTTTTTAACTAGGTACTGATTCTTAGAAGTCACATTTGGGAGAGTGATTTATCCATGAGTTTGTTAGTCAGCCTTTCTCATTATGAATGAGTTCATTGCTCCCAAATGAGGTCGCAATCCACCTTTACATGCTTGGTGATGCAAGCAATCTAAATGACACCTATTGGTAGCATGCACAAAATAGACAGCACATCCTTATAATTTTGGCAGAAGCTGAGGGGATTGGAATTGGTGGACTTAATGATTCTAAGAGATGAAGGCCAATCTGATTAAGATGGAGCAGCTGGTTATAGAAGGCTGAGCAAGTAGCCCAACCAACAATAATGGATGATACGAGATTGAGAGATGAGTCCGAGGAAGTAATTTCTTCAATGGTTGGTACCCTGCATATGAGATACAACACTATGAATGTTGTGAGCAAAGCTGATGAGTTTCAGATGTGAACTGCTTGACCTTATCGACATTGAGAGCAGCATCCCCTTTGTGATATTGTGGAACAACTAGAATTTTTTTTATTTTTTTTAAACTGTTAATTTTGTTGAAAGAGAGCATACATGGTACAAAAATAGGCAGCCCACAGCCTGGGTGCTCTGTGCAAAACCCTCATAGAGGGATGCTTTATACAAAGGAAGAGCGGTATCTCGAAAAATGCTATACATCCATTTTACTGGGTAGGCCATGGATACAAAAATACAAGGAAACCAAAGCTCAAGAAGGTGCCAAAAAAGTTCCCTGACATTGGTCTTGAGATGCTCTTGCTAAAGCAAGGGCGTCGACTGTAGTGTTGGCCTTGGGCCATGTATGCCTCGATAAGATGTGTCTATGCTTGCAAATATAGAACATCTTGTCAAAAACATGTTTTAGTCTCCATGGACAGGCGGAGGTGAGTGAGGCCCAAGCTATGACCTTTTTGGACTGCCCCTCAATTACCAAAATTGGGCTCCAAGTAGGATTGAAATTTCTCTAAGACCTTCAAGGAGTGCAAGAGCCTGTGCAGCCATCCTTATCTCTTATGATGCCCCCTATTCCTGTTGGCCCTGGATTGTTGAGGGATCAGCCGTGGAAGTTAAGTTTAGATTGGCCAGGTTCAGGTGGTCTCCAAAGGGGGCCTCAAGGCATACAGGTAGGCCTTAAGAACAATAAGGTCTGCCAATTTTGTAGAAAGTCCCTGAGTCCAAAGTGCCTGAATTGTTGTTGATTCCTAGCCCAACAAATGACCAGTGTTCTAATCATCTCGATTAAGGCTTCAACAGGGGCCTTCTCACCCCGGAAAGTTCTATTGTTTCTCTCTGTTCAAATTACCCATAATGTGGCCGCTACAGTGGCCTGCCAAAGTAGGATGCCCAACTTCGACAAGGGAAGTGGGTGAAGCGAGGATAAGAGGTGTAGACCGATCTCGGAGTCACCCATGACCAATTAAAGAGAAGAATGCCCTCCCCACAGAGTCTTCACCATCTCGCAGTGAAGGAATAGATGGCATTGGTTTCAGCGTCCATCATGCACATCACGGATCTGTTGGGTATAGGTCATCCCCTTTCTTGAAGCTGGTACACTGTGAATGAAGGGAAACCAGGCCTTAGCAGCAATGGATGATGGATGGGCTGGGAAGGGTGGTGGCATGAGGATTTCATAGTAGAAAGAGGGGAGACCGAGAAAATGCTTGAGCTGGCTAGGGACCAGATGACCTGGTCCTTGCCGTTGGAAGGGAGGAAAACTTACAGAAGTAGAGAAGAGAGCCCATAATTTGTGAAATTCATGGTTGTGTAAAGGCTGGCAAAAGGTGGGATTCCATGGTCTAGAGGTTCCCAAAGGTTCAAAGTGGTCGGCCGCTGTGGCCTCACTGTTTCTATCTGGGAGTAACAACTCAGGGAAAAGGTCCTTCAATGGGGTGTTTCCAATTCCATTGTCCTACCCTGTTACTCTCCTGTAGGTTAAACCGAATGTTAGCTTTGAAGGTGTTGAAGCAGCAAGTGAGGGATCTCGAAGTACTAGTTGATATACTATTGGCCTGACACCAAGGGATGGAGCTTGAAGAATGGGAACGATACTTGTAGCGAAGGACTTGAAGCCAAAGATGGTTTTCTTGGGTATGTAAACGCCGCCACCACTTGCCCAGGAGGGCCAAGTTATTCATCTTGATGCTGCTCATTCCAAGACCAACACACACTTTCCCATAAGATTAGGAGGTACTTTCTGGTTTTCCCTTTGCTTGACCATAGGAAGTTTATCATGAGCTGTTCTAGATGAGTCACCATCGAAGAGGGCATGTGGAACAAGGACATCTGGAAAATTGGGATGTTGGAGAGAGTGGCCTTTATGAGATTTATTCTTCCTATAAAGGAGAGGAATCTGCCTTTCCATCCAGCCATCTTTCAAATTTGTTGATTATGTGGTACCACTGCCTTTTTGGGCTTTCCATGGCATAATGGCAGGCCTAAATAGGTGGAGGGCAGATTCTGAACTTTGCACCCCCACCGATCGGCGAGGCGACCGAGAACTTGGGCTTCAATATACAGACCTGTCATTTTCGATTTAGCCATATTTACCCTAAAACTAATTGCCATTTCAAAACATTTGAGGAATAGGAGAAGGGAGTTTGCTCCACAAAACATTTCGACCTGCTGGGTGTTTGATCCACAAAAAAGGAAGGTGTCATAGGTCGGGCCGTTGTTCCTGATTTTTAATCCCTCTAGGAGGCCAGATTGATACATCCTATCAATGGAGCTGCTAAAGACCTTGGCAACAACAGCGAAAAGGAAGGGGGAGAGGGGATCTCCTTGTCTAAGGCCTATGAGGAGGGAAAGAACCCTTTGGGTGAATTAGTGATGAGGATATAGAGAAGTAGGGGTTTGATATACATCCACAGATCCAGACCCTCCAATGATCTCAGAAACCCATTCTATGCCTAAGATTGTCCAATCCACGTGGTTGTAGGCCTTTTCCCAATCTATTTTAATGACCACTCCTGAAATATTAACCGAGTGTCAAGAGTGAATGTATTGTGGGCCTCTACGGCACCATCAAGGATCTGGCGGCCCTTTATGAATGTCCCTTGGGTCTGGGAAATAACCCTACTTAGCACCTCTATCAAGCAAAAGGTGAGGACCTTGGAAAGAATTTTGTAGGAGCTGTTGATCAAAGTAATGGGTCTGGAGTCATTGAGCTCTTCGCCCCCTCTATTCGGGAACCAAGGCAATGAAAGTGGCTTTCATGGCCTTGTGGATTACAATTCTAGTGTGGAATTCCTCAAATAGAGAGTCTCTGTCAGGACGAAAGGAAACCCATAATGTTTTGAAGAGGGCCACTGGATCAGCATCGGGCCTGATCCTGGCTGAGGTCTTTGACAACATTAAGGATCTCCTCCTCGGAAAAGGGGTGCTCAAGCTAGGCTGCTTTGCCAAGAGGAATAGTGTGGAAGGATAAGTCTGCCTTCCTGGGCCCCGAGGAGCCGAGAAAAGCAGCTTGAAAAAATCAATTATGGCATTTTCCACTAGAGGGGTTGGTCTCGAATTTGTTCACCAATCTTTATATTGGGAGATGGTGTTATCCCGCCTTCTGCAATTGATGATCTTGTAGAAGAAAGTTGTGTTATGGTCACCAAATTTGAGCTACTTAATTCTGGAAGATTGGTACTAGAAGATCTCAATTGAGGAGCAGCTGGTAGTCAAATTTTGCTTGACATATTAGGTGTCTCTCTTCAATGGTCAAAGGTCTACTTTCATCGATGAGGTCCCAGTTGGGGATATTTTGAATCAGGGTCTCTTTCTGGGCCTGCACATTGCCGGGAAGTTGATGGCTCGCTCTTGAGGGAATTTTTGAGAACTTGAAGTTTGCGTTGAAGTTGGAAACCAGCCCAAGGAACCTGCGCGAGAAAGAATCCCACCATGAGGGGATGAGGGAGTGGATATAGGGCTCTTCAACATAAGATATTCCAAAAAGGAAGGGTTAGGCCCCGAGGTTACAGGCTGGGTGTTACAGCCTATGGTCAAGCATGGTCTAGGGAGGGCTAAGGCATGGGAACCAGGAAATGAAGCAATCCCAATCAAGACTACTGATCAGTCCAGTTTAGAGAGGGAAGGGTTGAAGGAGTTGTTGGAGCAAGTGTAGCCATCTCCTTGGATGAGAATGTCAATGAGGTTGTTCCTGGATACGAAGTCTGAGAAATCAAGCATGCTTTGTGACTCTAAGGTGGGCGTTGCGCTCAAAAGACCACCTGGTGACATTGAAGTTGCCACAGATACACCAAGAGGAGAGGGGCAAGGATGCGACCCCATCGAGCTCTGCCCGGAATTGGTCTCTGGGACCTGCTGAAATTGGGCCATAGACCACTGTAAATTACCAGGGTAGGCCGTTGGATGCCCTACTGAGGGAAATTGTGACCGAAAGGAGGCTACCGGGGCAGAAGAGAGTGCATGGAAGAATGGGTCCCAAACCACCAGATGCCTCCAGAGGCTCCATGACCCTCCCAAGCAACCCGCTGGCATGGTCTGGAACCCAATACCTGCCTGATGAGACAAAGGGTGAGACTGGGCTGCTTAGTTTACACTATGGCAAGGATAGCTGGTGGGTGTTTTTGGCAAAAGGCTCGTATGGCATTGTGTTTGTCAGGGTTACCCAAGCCCTGGATGTTTCAGGTTAGACCATGCAATTGTGACGGAAGGAGGGAGGGGCACGTCTAGGGGGGAGCGCCTGGGAAGCACCCGAGTCAAAAACGTTGGGCCGTCAGGAGGGGAAGAAGAAGAGGAGGGATCCACCAGGTTGTGGCGAACTCCAAATGCGAGGTTAGAGACTTCCCTCTTACCCTTACCACTTACTATGAACCTAGTTTTAGCATCAGCTTTGAGGAAAGCTTCGATGGTCTTCTCCAGTTGATTACCTAGTTGATCTTGTCCTGGGCGTGATCCATTCCCTAAAAAATTTAGCGTGTCATGGGCTTTTTTCGTTGGGGGGGGGGGGGAGGGGGGGGGAGAGGAATAATCTGCATGTTGCTCAGATGCCATTTTATATGATAGAGATATGTTGTGGGGTGCCTAACTCTTTGAAATGCCTCTCTATCTAGTTGCTGCTGCAACATTTCTGAACACCACATGTAATCACAACATGTGTTTTAAGATATACTGGAGTTTTGTAGCTTTGAAATCTATGCATTGTATTTTTTCTAGGTAGTCTTTGGAATATGGTATTACTCTATGATTGGCATGCTTTAGCGCTCATCTACTCTTCTTTTTACAGTCTAAGCACATTTTGGTGCTTTTCATGCATACACTCTTTCTTGATATTCTCCATGCCCAAAATTTGCCTTCTCATTTTTAAAGAATTATCCGAAGGTCCTCCAAAATGAGGATTGATTACCAAGTGGGTAAAGTTGATTTTTTTCATGTGGTTATCTTAGCATTTATGGTTTGATGGACACGCAGGTTCGAATTTTTTCAGCAATGGATGAGACTACCTTGGATATAATTTGTGAAAGATTAAGGCAAAAGCTGTATATAGAGGGATGTGAAATTCAAAGTGATGGAGGCCCAATTGAGAAAATGGTTTTCATTGTGAGGGGTAAAATGGAGAGCACTGGGGCAGATGGATATGTCACTGCCTTAGCAGAAGGTGATGTGGTTGGTGAGGAGCTTCTTACATGGTGGCTTGAGCAATCTCCTTCGAGTAAGGGTATGTTCTAGGGCTACACTTAGCCCCCAGTTTTCTTTCTTAACTGTTCAATGAGCATGCTTAAGGGGTATCGTAAACAGAAACTTTTGCCTATTGCTCAGTTCGCACTATTCCATTGAGCTAATGCTTCATTTGTTAGCTATGACTTCGCATGTAAGATCATCCTGATTTTCTCCCTGGGAAAAAATAAAAAGAAGATCCTCATTCCATATTCCTCAGGTTCAGCCCAAACAGTAGGAGACAAATGCTTGTGCAATCAAAAGAATATACGGGCCATGTCTATCATATATTTGTAATATTGATTCCAAACAGGAAACAAATTATTGCAAGTACCAGTTCAACAATGATGATTTATCTAATTAAATAAACTGATTGCAGGTTGAACCCATCATGCTAGACTCCTCCAATCAATAGCAAACCAGATTTGATAAATGAACCTTTCAGTATGTATGAATGCACTGTCCCATTGTTTGCTTAGAATGTTTTAGGCCTGCTGGTTGACTTCAATTCTTGTTGGTTTGACATTGCTTATTGGCAATATTCTATATTGGCTGAATATTTATCACCAACATGAAGAATGGATTATGGATTGGGTTCCATATATAAAAACCTATATTTATGTGAAGACAGCCCCATCTGCATAACATAATCATAGACAATGGTTCTCTCTCTCTCTCTCACATATGCACCAAACATGCACACTCTCACGTACACAGAGAGAGAGAGAGAGAGAGAGAGAGAGAGAGAGAGAGAGAGAGAGAGTACTAGTACGTGGTAGTTAGTT